ATTACCTTATACCCTCGTTATTTTTATCCTGTGCTAACACCAGAACCTTTTGACTGCGTTTGACGGATACGAATGAAATATCATTTTATTAACGTTTCATATAATGTTGGCAAGGGAAGTGTTTCGCGGATGATCTTGACGTCGGCAATTTCAATAGGCTTGCTCAGTTCATTTGGTGTACGTTCAGGGTAGGATTATCTAGTTACATTAATTGTATTGATATTCACAAAAATATCGAGAAATAGAAATAATATTCTTTAGCATAAATTCTTACCACAATAAAAGTTTTTTTTTATTCTAGTTTTAGAAATTAATTTAAATTAGATTTTTAAATTGCATAAACAGTTGTTAATAACTAGAAAGAAATACCTAATACGATGTACCTACTTACTATACGTTATACAAAATAAAGACAATGATGTATATATTTATTATTGTTATATTGAAAAGTTGAACAGCAATAATATCTAACGCAGAAATAATACTAAAAAAATCTAATATTACTACTTTCAGTATTCTAGAGTTATCCACGAAAAAAATATTCCCTATCAACTAATATTCTTTTGCTTATGTTTAACTATTTTACAACAATTCTGTGAAAAAATACGTCGTATATCTATATTAATAATTTCGTCAAGGGGTACGGTAGACTCGAACGAAACCTTATGTGAATAACAAAATATAAAAAAATATTGATTTTGAGTCGACAACATATATCCGCAAAATTCGGATTATGGAGTATTTCGTTAAATTCTAATGACACTGACAAATAAACCGTAGTCACCATCTTTTCATTTCACTAGCATTTTCTTAGGTCGTTGACGTTTCGCGAAAATATTGTTTTTGACACTTTTTTATGATAAAAACACATACTCGTTTTTTCTTTAAACCTGAAATTGGCCGATTGCAAGACAAATTTAGCAATTTTTTTTATTAATTTCTTTTACGGCTCTGGATACAAGTCCTTTTTAGTCCAACTTAAAGTTTTACAAAAAAATAAAAATTATTTGTATAAAAACTGTTGCACTTTTTATTTACTATATTTATTAAACACAATGAACGAAGCTTTACAAATCTATGTCTTGCATATTTTTAATATTCAATGAGAACCGATGATTACAGAAATATCTACCCACATTTCACCCGAGCGAAGCCGGGTTGTCATCTAGTTAATTAATAATAATATGGATGGTTATAAGGGCAGAGGAAGACTTAAAAAGAGATGGATAAGAAAGGGAGTATATAACTAAATGACTGTGAATGATGAATGAAAATGAATGGAAGAGTAAAACATATTACGTTGACTCCAAACTAATGGGATAAGGAATAAGCAGAAGATGATGATGATGATGATTAATTAATTATAACTTTCGGTTTGTTCAATTCCATTTTGGTTACACACTTTTTGTTTCCTCACGCTTTTAGGATACTATTACATGTACATAGTAATAAAAATGAAGGGTGCCATTAATATGGCAACCAATAATTTATAGATTGACAAAATTGTCCTTCACTTTCTAAGTACTAAGAGCAGTTTTAAGGTAAGCCTATTTTCTCTATTAGTAACGTAGACCGTACAAATACCACAGCTAGCAAGTCAGCGAGACATTCCCGTATGATTAATGAAGCGGTCGTTAGTAGACGCGACTGCAAATGGCAACAAAGTGACGTCATTATTTCGCGCTAACTGTGTTCATCTTTTCCATGTGTTCACACCAGTGAATCTGATATATGTATGTGCTTGTAATTATTTCATATTATTGGATGTGTGGTTGTTTCTTTGTTATTAAAGAAATAGCTATTAGTCGGGATTTGTAGTTCATCTTTGCCAAGGAAAAAAGGACATTACTGGTTAAGACTTATATGTAGAATTGAATGACAAGTTTTGACGTATTGTTCTTAACACTAACTAATGGGGTCATTGTTATATATTTTTTTTTACATGTGATAGTTGTACCATATTGAAGCAATATATTTGAATGATGGCACAGCAGCAAAGCTGGTGTAGAATTAAAAATTGATTGACCGGAATATATAAAAATATCGTATCGTATCGTAACGTACACAAAAATGATTGCATGATTGACCTCATAGTCGAAATAATCAGGAAGCACCATAGGTACTATGTAAAAATTATAATATAAAATATCTGACGTTCATAAACGGCTAAAATGTCCTACATGAATAAATTATTGTTGAATTTTAATTTTTTTAGGATGTAATAATAGAAATAAAAAGAATTAATAATTGAATCGTCTTAATCAATTGTATCGTTAAAATGTTATAAGTCTGTAACAATTTTATTTAATTCCAAATGCTATTTAAGTTTTATTTTGAATCAGAAATGATGTGAGAGTTTCCTAAAAGAAAAAGTTAAAAGCAATTTAGACCAATTTTATTGCACTCCGCGATGGAACCTTCCTGAATTCACAATCAAAAAGTGCTAATGGAAAACTGCGGACATCCATAGTGAGTCATTAGAACTTTGTGAAGATTTTTAATCTATATTTACATTTAATTTCACTATTGAATTAGAAATATTATTTTTAATAACGAAAATAGATTATTGCCATATTTTTGTTTATTAATAAAAAATGTATTTTTAATTATCTGAATTAAAATTATACAGAGATGACAACCATGTGATTTATAAACAACAACCAACTTTATGATTTATAATAAATAAAATATACTTTACTAATTATGCTATAGAATGTTATTTCTTAACAGTTTCATATTTTGTGTGAATGTATTTATTTATAAAAATATTTTTGTATCGCATATATATGTAGGTATTAGAGAATCAAAGTTAAATTATTTTACTAAAGTAGTTAGTCATGTCACAGAACTAATACAGAAACTAAAAGTGTCCAGATTTGTAAAGTTTTGTTTGCATTATTAAACTCTGAATCACAAAATAAGTAGAGAATTGAGAATTGCGATTAATGTAGACAGATAAAAGAGAGCAACTATGAACTGATGTACTAATGGCAGACAAAAGATTGAAAAAAAAAAATCAACTGTAAATATATAAAGTCAATTCTAAATATGAAGACACAAACATATAAATTAGGTAATAGGTATTAATTGTAGTGATTCATTCATTTATTCATATCTATATATGAATAAAATAAGTAAAAATATATATACATAGATATATTATTATTCATGTTTTTGCACAAATTAAGGTTTACGTAAAATTGAGAGAAACGTATTCATAGTTCGTACTGTACATAACGTTCATAGTATTCCAAAGTCTACGGAATATTCTATTATTTAATACTTTAATACAGGTTTATGTTCAGTGTAATATAACACAGCTTCATTCTCCATGTAATATAGAATATAATAAAATTTCTTATGTAATTCTGTTTTGTTACCTTTCCTAAGTAAATTGTGTCGAATAAAGTGAAATACGTAGAAATTTCGAAGAGATGTCCTGCCCTGTCTTAATTAAATGCCGCTACATAAACTTTACCCTTCAGAAAAACCTTCATTAGACTCATTACTGGCGTAATAACAAATGCAGCTACAAAATTATTGGGTCAATCAAAATCAATTCTTAAAGTTATTATACTAAGATTGAACGTAAAATTTTCGCTTATGTTGCATAAGACCTTTCACCATCCAAGATTGAAGGTACAAGAGTCAACGACAAAAAATGGTCTCTTCAGATTTACTTTACGAAGAGAATCGTTAAAGTAAACCGGTTCTAAGGTGGGCAAATAATAAAGTTAACGAGGTGTACCTAAAAAAAGTTCCCAGAGAATTTTTTTATAAATTTTTTGTTTATTTATCTCAATGTAAATCTTATTATTTTAATACGTTGCAACTATGTATATACCTCATAAACCACTAGACAATAGTTATTTCAGTTTACAGATATCGTTATAAAAATATGTAAAAACAAACTACTGCAAATACTTATTATTTCGTATTACATATTTTACTTCAATTTAATTCAGGTTTAAACTATCATTTTGAATTTAATTTAAAGTTTAATTAAATCTGAATTATTACAAATTAAAATAGGACATACATGTAAAAAAATAATGCTCACCATAACTTAATGAACATATACCTATTAAGATTCCATAATACAGCAACGAGCTATCTCAAAAATAAATGATTAAAGTAATACGAGATTACATATTAAGCCTAGCCTTTGTAGTTCAACGAATCTCTCATTAAAACTTATACTCCTGAAACAGTTGACATAATACTAAACTACTTCTCCGAGACGAAGTAATATGACTTTCCATTGTGCAAACGTGCAAATATTTATGTTGTTTATTTATCTTTGAGTTGTGGGAACGGGCAAACTTCGTTGTATTTGATTTTATTGACAAGCTACTTCGTGGCCTTATTCAAAGTTGTGAATATTATATTGAGATAAAGGGTAGGCCTCTTACTACGAAAATATGAATCCAAGCGTAAGTATTCGAATGATATTGGATTTAATTTTCAGTGTCAAAAATATTACTAGTATAATTTAAATTGATTGGTTACTCCAATCAATAACACACCTATTTTAACAACCCATTAGGAGTCATGTAACTGCGAGTCCTTGATAGGATGTAATAGGACATTCTAACTGGTAAAATGAGAGTAGAAGGAGAAATATTCTGGAGCGGAATGGAACGAGTCTTCACCTTTAAAATTATGGTATAATACTAAACATAGTCATAGGGTATGACTCAAATGGCGCTTTAAATGCGGTCGTTTTTTAAAGAGCAAAACTTCCATAGTTTGAAGGTTAAAAGAATTGTTCACAATATAAATAACAAGTAAATTAACAGTTAAAATTACTTTAATAAAATAAATTTGACGCAAATCAAAAAAGTACCGATTATTTACAAAAAATATTGTTTTTAACGACATCAACTTCTCTGTTCACGTCAATACACTTGAAACATTCAGTGTATTTTCCTTATTCATTTGAAATAGACGTTTAATATTGACATCTACCTATACAGTACTTTAATTTTTTCTGGAAAAAAATGTATAAGAAAGCTATGAAAATTTTATTTGTCTTCATGGTGATTTGGATTTTATCTCTATGGACAATACAGCAGGAATTTGGAACAGAAAATAATGTGGTATTTTTTAAAGACGATCAATTGTACAACCGAGCATTAAATAGGTTGAGAGATAAATATTGGAATAAGAATAAGGTTTACACGGAATCAGATTTCGATGGCAAGTTTATATTTCTAGAAAAAGTGCCCTTATAAATTAATATACAGTTTCACCTAGTCTCAAGCTAAGCACAGTTTGCATTATGAGCATGGATTCATTATGTTTATGGTGCTCATTGATCTAACGTTCTTGAACCCAATTAACTAGTTATTAGTTACACAATTAATATACAATTAATTAACTAGTCTATCATGTAATTAGGTAGGTAAATCTGTACAAAAATTGTCTGTTACGTTTATTGTGCAGTGCTACGTTAATAATTCAATGTGTTATTTCCCCATATAACACAAGAGTATAGTAAGTAACAGTTATACCAAGCTATCTGGCTAACAAAGACGTGTTAAATCTAATCCATCAATGTAGCAGGACACCATATAGATTAATAAAAATGCCTATGATTATGCTGTACTTACTCTCTTTCTGTCTTTTAAGAAATCTAATTAATGACAGGAGTTCCAAACTTAATAATATGTGTATTCTTTATTGTTTTCAGTTTGGCAATTATTCAAACCAGTGAATATTATTTTATCTGATGAACAAAAACTGTCAGCTATCAAAAGTTCTGATATACCTCCAGGTATTTTATTATACAATATTTTATACCTATACCTATACCAATCTACAAATTTTACTGTGACAAATCGGTCCAAATAAATTAATTATAAAACGAAAGATTTTCGCAGATATAAAAAATCTTACATCACTCGCAATATCAGATATGAAATAATATTTTGAAAGATTGAAGTTCATATTTTTATATAGATATAAATACTTTTAATTCGTATAAGACATTTTTTCATATTAATTTAAATTGTAAGTAAGTTTACAATACCTTTTACAAATCGTCTACGTGGGTACTTCTGTTTCACTTAATTCTGCCGCCAATGTAACGGCAGCCCATGAACACAAGAAGTATGCTGAAGTAAAACATTGCTTGATGTGATTTTTTAGGTGCTGTTCATGTATACAGGCGATGGTTACAACTTACCGTTAAGTGAGTCGTCAGCTTGTTTGTCATTCATTTATAAACAAAACAGAAAATTTGATATATATTATATACTAATTAATATTTAGGAATAAACGGTACCCCAGTGATCTTAGAAGGATATTCAAGATATTCCCTCAAGGCAGTAATAAATAAAGGCTGGAGAGATCACGCATTTAATCAATTTGTGAGTGATTTGATACCTCTAAATCGTACTCTACCAGATCCTAGAGACAAATGGTAAGCAAGATTAATAAACGTAATATATTCAAACCTAGATTTTAGGTAAGCTTGCTTTATAAGATTATCTAAAATCTAGCATTGAAGTTTATCCAAAATATAGCTAAGTTAAAGTTTATAATTTAAGTATTAATGTAGTAGATTTATTGATACCAATTTTAGTCAATTTGTTAATATTGTCATTAAATATACTGTGTTTAAGTTTAGGATTCACGATTTCTATTCTATTCTATTCTATTCATAATTATCGCAAATGTAAATTATTTTATTGGAAGTTAATGATTTTGACTAAAATTATAAAAAAAATAAGCATTTGTATATAATTGTTACAGGTGTACAAAACAAAAGTATTCTAAGTTACCCAAAGTATCGATAGTGATATGTTTCCATAACGAAGCATTATCAACGTTACTGAGAACTCTTCATTCCGTTATAAACAGAACACCGAATCATTTAATAAATGAAATTGTTTTATTTGATGACTTTTCTAACATGGGTAATAAATTAAATATTAAATAATCATATGAAATCAAACTCAAATAGTATGTATGAATAAATTGAGTTCTTAAGATATAACATATTGCAGATAATCTCATGAAACCACTTGAAGATTATATAGGAAATGTTTCTAATACAATTTTAGTAAGGTCTAAAAATCGTAAAGGTCTAATTAGATCTAGAATATTAGCTATTACACATACAACAGCACCAGTAATTGTTTTTTTAGATAGTCACTGCGAATGTACAAAAGGTAAGTTTGAAAATAGTGTTTATACTCGTAAAATATACTTTACAATAACTTCGTTCTAGTTTTAGAATGATTCATCATTGTATACATATTTAAATTATAAGAGATATGAAATTTAAAAAAATATATAATCCTCAGTTCTTTGTTTAATTTTTTTTTTTTCATATACATACACGGCATCTGTGCTGTTTATATAGGGTAGGTAGTAAATATGGTTATATATGGTTATATAAATATGGTAAGTTGTTATAAATAAGGTAGAATAATACTCATAGATTATGATGGGACAGTTAGTACTCGTAAGCTAAAAAATATTGATTTGACCAAGAGGTGTTATAGTTACAATAAAATTTTAAAAACTATATCTTTAAAATTATTAACTGACACGTATATGTATAAGGACAGCACATTTAATGTTTCATGTACTTCTATACTTCTGTAACAGCAACACATGAGTGAGATCGTGGGTGTCACTTGATAATACGATGTTCTTAATGCTGTTTATGTACGTAGGCAACGGTTACTCCTTTCCATTCAGGTGTGCTGTCAGATTTTTTGCCATTCGATATGAAATTCAATTACATACAAAATACTTTCAGGTTGGATTGAGCCACTTCTTGATCGAATTAAACAAAACCCAACCAATGTCGTGAGTCCCGTAGTCGATCAAATACATGACTCGACATTTGAATATATAGCTCAAGACATAAATGATCTTCGTATTGGCGGGTTTAATTGGAATTTGAAATTCAGTTGGTCGGTGATACCACGTGAAATTTTAATGAAAAGAAAAGAACTTTCCGCTCCTATAAAAACGCCAACAATATCAGGAGGACTGTTTGCTATAAACAAAAAGTATTTTGAAAAACTTGGATATTATGATGAAGGTTATGATATTTGGGGTGCGGAAAATTTGGAGTTGTCTTTCAAAGTGTGGATGTGCGGGGGTTCTTTAGAAATTGTGCCGTGCTCTCATGTCGGTCATGTATTCAGAAGGAGGGTGCCCTATAAAGGTGAAAAGGGATCATTGAGGAGGAATTTGGTGCGGTTGGCTGAGGTATGTTAAGCGTTGTGTTCATTTTTACGAGATATTTATTTCTTTAAAACCTTGTAAATATATATATTTTTTTTATAAAACACATTCGATTCCGTTCTAAACGTCTATCTTTGTAAAGACAATTCAAGCAAAGTGAATTTAAAATTAATATTAATTATTATCTAAAGCCATTATTTCATATAATAAATATTTAGAAATGTAAAAATATCATTTTTATTTATACACTTAGATATACAAAACCGTAAGAGGTATAAGTTCTAAAATAGTATTACCTAATGGAATAATAGATACATATTTCAGGTATGGATGGATGACTACGCCAAATATTTTTACGAAAGAATTGGAAATGAGAAAGTGCAATACGGAAATGTTACTAAACGAAAACAAATACGTAACAAATTGAAATGCAAATCGTTTGATTGGTATTTAAAAAACGTCTACCCACAATTACAGTTGCCTGATAAATACGTTGCTAGTGGACAGGCAATATTATTTTATTTCTTTCATTTTTATTTATTAGTAATTTTAATTTCGCATACCCGTCATTCCGGCAATAAGCGGTAGAGTTACACCTTGGGGTTTTAGCCAGTAGGAGTACGGTAGTACATGTATTACTTCTGGATTTATTTATTCGGACTATTTTAATGCTATCGGCTACATCTGGCCTTTAAAGTTTCACCGGACAATAAAGAGTAAGTGTAATCCAAAACCGCGGAAGGACTTATGGAACTGCTGAAGGCTAACTCCCATCTGATGCATACGAAGTTCCTTCTGGAGCGGGGCGGGTTTTCATGACGGATTGCCCCAAGAAAAAAAAAGAGCAGTACCACAATGACTTAATATTCGGGGTTGCTTGTTATGTATATTTTGACTATTACCACTAACCATCAGATAGGCTGTCAGTACGTTCACCATTGTAGTTACATAAAAAAAAAGATGAACTCTCAGTCTATAGATACTTATTAATAAATAATTTTAATAGGAATATTTATTATTTCAGATCTTCAATATGGGTCATCAAACAATGTGTTTAGATACATTGAGCACATTTCCAAGCACTAAAAATGTTAAAATCCTACCTTGTCATCATCGAGGCGGCAACCAGGTGAGTTTAAATCATCATCACCACATAATGTAAAACATAGTCGCTGTCGCTATCTGTACGTCCCTATGTATGCTTAAATCATTAAAACTACTCTACAGATTTTTTAATACATAAAGTGATTCAAGAGGAAGGTTTATATATATAATACATGTACACCTGTGCGAAGTCAGGGCGAGTAGCTAGTTATGTATAAATACTAAAAAATTAACAAGTAAGCATAAAAAGATCATTTAAACTACGCAACTGATTTTAATGCAGTTTTTAGAAATAGATATAGTAATTCAAAAGGAAGGTTTATATGTACATATATTAATGTACGCCCGCGCGAAGCCGGGGCAGATAGCTAGTATAAGTATAAATAATAATTCTCGTTTTGGTTAATATTTCAGTATTGGGTCTACACAAAGGATGGAGAAATACGTCGTGACGAAATGTGTCTCGACTACATATTTAATTTAGTGACGTTATTTGTATGTCGGAGACGAGTTTCTTCACAAATATGGCTTTATGAGTATAGGGTAGGTAGTACCTAATCTCGTTTTCCTATGCAAAGAAACCAGTAATAAAATTAATATCGACTTTTAACGCTTTAACATATGCTTTTAGCGTGCAAATTATGTATAGTTAGCCCCAATTCAAGAATAAGCCTGAAGAATGAGTGATTTAATAGATTTCATTAAAATCTGTGTAGTATAAAGGAAAAGGTAATAAGTAGATATTCAGACTAATTTACTGATTAGAAAAGAAATAGGTTTACAAGACAAGAAGTGAATACATGGAATATTTTTTTATTTATGTATACATAATTATTATATTATTATTTCCAGTTTAACCGTATAAGACATATGGAAACTCAAAGGTGTCTGCAAGTTGTGAGATATGCGGAAAGATTAGAGCTTATATTACAAACATGTAGCCATTTAAGCGCCCAAAAATGGACTATGGAAAACTATAATGTAGAACGGTTAGGGCCAGAGTTACAAATATATGCTAAAAGGCAAATGTGATAATGTATGCATATCAAATTAGATAACTTTGTGTCCGGCACTTTTAAAGTATGACAAATGCATAACGTAAGAAAGTAGTATTTTTTATTTTTTTTGGTTTTTTTGCGCAAGTTGGGTTACATTATTGAAGTTTTTATATAGATCCCTGAAGTTTTGTCAAGATATGTATCAGAAATAATTAAGGATAAAAGAAATTTTCAAATCAGTTCAGTAGTTTAATATTTATTAACATTTTACATCTTTATATTATGATACGCTACTATAAATTATTTATACTAATGACACAACTAGATAAAAAAAAATTTAATACAAAGAACATAATTTTAAATAACAAAAAGTATTCACCGCTTTCTTTGTATTAAGGGTATGACCACAGAAAGGTACTCTCTGCTTTTGACTCCGAGCATTATTGTGGTTTTAATGAAAAAGCAACCACGCAAAGGACATTTTACTTTGTGTGTATGTTAAAAGTCGTTTCTATTAAAGATATATAATTATGCAGATGTAATTCAACGTTTCCAGATAAAATATTTAGTATATACAATTTCACGTTTTATGCATCCAATTTATATATATGCAATACATACACTTTTGGAACTGTCTGTATTGCATATATATAATAATATAACTATTTAATCTGAAAATTGTGAGAAATTGTGAGACTGAAAATATCAAAGAAAAGAAAATGTGTATTCAATATATGGTAGTTTTATTACTATTAATTACAATACAATATTATGTTTTCAAACACCTCTTACGTGACTTATTTAATTTATGCAATAATTTATTCTTAGCTATAAATTAAGCTTTAACTTTTATAATAAGGTAAAATAAATTGCCAGGTTTTATTCTGCGTGATTTTGTTTATCCTATCCCACCTTAATTGCTGGGGAGATTTAGGATTACTTATAAGTCCAGTACAGATAAATGTAGTATAATATTAAGAATAACTAAAAAAATGTTAGTAGTTAAAAACTTACAGCTTTGGTAGTAAAGTAGTTTACTTCAGATGTAAATGATCAATATATTCATCAGAATGATTGACTGTATTATTCTGAGTCTTTGTTTCGAATATAGTGTATGTATTTACAAAAAAAAATATAAGTAATAATGTCAATACGCATAGTACAAGCTCTGCTTGGGTTGGGATTAAACGGCGTTGCGTAAACTGCCTATAAAAACATTACAGAATTTTAGAAAACTATACTATGTACTGCAAACAAATATTATTACGTCAATATTAAATATTACAATCGTGATTGAATATCAATACCAAATCTTAAATCACTTAAAACCTTCCGTTCGTCGTACTCCAAAATCGCCTTCATCCATTAACTTCCTGTAAACTTTCTGACATCATCAGTCGATGATTGAAGGGTTGACTTAGATTGATTTACTTTTATTAGATTCATAAATAGCTGTTTCGCGATATTTATTCCAACAAGAATTTAGATTGTGTACTTGTGTACTTTACTATATAAAACTAACTATAAAATCATTGAGAAATAAAACAAATTGTACAATATTTTCTGTGGTAAATTAAAATATTTTCTATATTTCAAACTACAAAATACAAATGTAATATGGATGTATAAAGCAGTGTTTCTTTAGCTATATTATACTTTGTAGTTCTAAATGTAAATGTCATTTTAATTTAGTACATAAAATATTTAATTGCACGAAAATCAGCCATGTACTCTACACCTAAGGTCCTGTTATACCTGTGCGTAATTACCTTATTTATCATTATAACAAACAGAGATTATGACGCTTAGTAAAATTAATTATTGTTTGCACGATAGATTATTATCTACATTGAAATATTATATGTATATACACCTTTACATTGTTTCGTATATTATCACATCTGCAGCAACATATATTGATTCAGAATATTATCAAACTAGCTGATTCTCGCAACTTCTGTATCACATTTTCCATATTTATATATTTTTTTTGTTATGGCTCTGCTCTATTGGTCATAGTGTGTCATTATATTTTTATATAATGTTAGGTTATGTATCATAACCTAACATTATATAAAAATATAATGACTTTCTTCTGTTAACCTATAGCCTGCTTCGAGACAAGGATAATTTCAACATGAAATCATTTTCAAAATCGGAAATGCAGTACATTTTTGTAATCTATACTAAGGCACCGTCTTTGATTGAGGCAGTAAGGTTTCAAAAATTCTCCCATATCTTAAATTTCACTGATATTTCTTTATTCAAACCTATTACAACTTACAAAGCAAGCTACTTGGTGTAAAAAATTGATAGAATAGAGATCCTACACATACGGCTTTATATATAGATTAGATTACCGGCTATAAACTATATAGACGTTCATAATAATAATTAATTGTATTTTTCCTATTTATTAACAACGAGTTTTGATATGGGTTTCAGTATACAAAAATACATTTATTTAAAAAAGTGTACTAAATACTTACATAATTATTATTATAGAGAATAGCCAATAATTTAAATAATAACTGAACCCAGGCGAAAAGTGGGCGATACCTTATTCTTTTATAAAGTACTTTTACTTTTTATAAAGTTTTATCTAGTTAAAATTGATATACCAGCTTAGCAACATGAAACTTCTGGAAAGTACTTAATGTGGTTTACTAGAAGCTATGAGAAGTTTTATTAGAATTAAGGTTTTAATCGGACCAGTAAGTAATACTTCAAAATGGTTATATATACATATTTTTACAACCGAAACAGTTCTTTAAACAATGTATGTAAGCATTTTGTTCAAATCAATGTGTTCATACATAATATTGTGAACATTACAACTTTCTATAAATAATAAATTGCTACAATATATAAAACAATAAAATGAATTTAGTAATTACGTTAAACTGTTGAAAACACTACTTTATAATAAAGCACATTAGGTACACCGTTAAAGAATATCTAGCGAATACTATAGTGTGTACGTCTATAACTCTTGTTTAAATTGCTGTGCCTGAAAATGTACATGTGTAAGTTATATTTATGTATGCACTTGTAATGCAATAAATAAAAAAAAGAATACTTCAAATAAAAAATGAACTGTGAACCTTTTGAGTATTCATTATTACCATTTTAATCTTTAGTATTTTATTACTTAAGTCTACAATAGTGCATGGGAAATGTTGTAGCTTTGTATATACAATAGTTTTTATAGATTTAAGCATTTACATGTGGAATCGTTTATTGATCCCACAGTACCTGTAAAATGAAATACGACTTCCCATGCAGTAAATTGCATGAACAGCACTTTTAAAATAGACTTGTAAAATAAATAGATTCTAAAAATCAGCTGCTTTACCCCACAATAAAATCCCGAATTACATTAGGCTATGAATAGATAAACGTGAAATATAAATATTTGTCTTAACATTGAAATTCATTGCATTACATAAAAGTCTCGTATAGTTGAGCGAAGATCGGTCGCCCATATATTTTAATAATAGACTACCTCAAAATATTTCTATCATAGTATTGAATTGTGTTTATGTAACTGGGAGAAAGCTAGGAGCTTTGGAAATCGCTGAATCCACTTTACACCCATCGGCATGTACAAAGACAATATGCGGAAACAGGGTTTTATAGTGGATTCACAGTGGAAATGTAGGTCATTGCCCAGACTATATACTACCCTTCTTATGTACATAGTACCTGTTTAGGATTTCCAACTGCAAAAGGAATATAGTAGGTATAAGGTATATGAAATTATTATTCATATTGATAAATTTATTATCGTGCCGGCTTTGCATGGATGTATTAGATTTTTTTTCTGTACTATAATATCATTGGTTTATACATTCCTCCTATATCTTATAAGCTAACTCTTTTACAAAATCTATTTCCGTAGTTTAAAGATCTAAGTATAAAAACACGAGAGACTTTGTAAAGCAAAGTACTATATAAAGATTTAGAGTTATTAAATGATTCGGCAAATTGTTACGAATATCATTACAATAAGGCAATGATTAATTCACCATACACACCATTCACATATTTGTCTTAATTTTTTATAGACGATTATGGAATACTGCACTCGTATATCCTAACAGTCTACGTTGACGGGGAACCAGTGGAGAATTATATGACGGCGTCGGTGGTCTAGCGGTCTAGCACACCGCTTTACGTCCGATGGTCGCGGGTTCGATTCCTCGCACGGCACAAACATTTGTATTCATGAGTATGATTGTTTGTATCGGTCTGGGTATTATCTATGTATAATATGTATGTATTTACGAAAAAAAAAATCTATGTATTTGTATCAGTTGTCTAGTACCCATAACACAAGCTTTAGCTAGCTGAACTTGGGTCTAGATGGCGCTGTGTGAATTGTCCTGAGATTATTATTATTATTATATGATAAGCACGAGGTTAGGTTAATTAGTCCATTGTAACAAATTCAGTAGGACTTCACAATGATTTCCAAAGAAAACTGCTTGGAGATCAACTTGATATGATACATTGCTAGTAAAGTATCGATATTACTAACAATCCCCTTGCTCCCAGCAAGTCAAAAGTATCATTTACTATGACGAACGACGACGACAGTCGACAATTCCTCAGATTATAATATTTAAGATAACGATCAAGTATATTTTTTACGTTAATTATATAGTCTTTTATTTATAAATAAACCCTTTTGCATTATCCATAAAAAATTGTAAACAGAATTCTGCGTTTATTTACCGGCTAACCACATAGATTTGCATAATAGCCAGGCATATAAGATAGATGGCGTCTCTCACTAGCCCCGCAACATATTGAAGGGAGGGATGAAGAAAAATTGCTTCGGCGTCGCGCCTTGAAAACTGGAACCTTTAATTTACATGAAAACATAGTTGATACTCTTATTACAAAGTGCTTAAAGTCTAAATTTGCTTATCCTAAATATCAACGAAACCGAACGGAGCAGGCGTAAATTGAACGAGGGTTAACAAATATGTTAGGGGTGCGCGAAATTTATGATTGAACTAGTGTTTTTCA